TACATAATCTACTATTTCAGGAATATCGCTAGTATTTTCCTGGGTGAAAACTGAGAGGAAATAGGTATTGAGAATTTCACACATATCCTTATCACTGTCAGTGATCTGACCAGAGTTACTCTAAAGTGGGCCAGTCTTGTCCCTAATCTTACTTCTGTATACCTGAAAGAACCCTTTTGGGTTAGTCTTTGAATCCCTTTCGATCTTTTTTTTGAATATTGTCTTTTAAACATATCCCTGAGGTATCCCGGTAATAACTGCTGTTTTTAACCCTAATGCTGCAGCCTGATTGTTTCCCACAAACACCCATACCTATATAATCTATCAGTTATCAATTACCCTCTCAACCGAATTGGCTGATGCAACCACTCCATCTCCAGAGAGATAAACCCCATCCCTTGCATACATATCATATTTGCCAAAGAATAGGTCCCAGTTATCAATAAATGGGATTGCAAGTTCCTTACAGTACCTGTCTAGCCAGCAATTTATACCAATTGCCTTAGATAGACATTTATTCATTGCCCACTCCCTTTCTCGGCAAGATGCTACATATGACTGGGATTCCTCCCTTAGACCTAACTACTTCTATGGCTGACCTGTACTTATCCAGCAGCTCCTCTTTCCTGCACTTCCCAATGCCATTACCCCCAGCACTAAGACAGACAATGGGCTTGTTCCCATTACCTGCCATAACATTATCCAACCTGCTGACTATGTCATCATCACTATCTCCAGGAAGGCACACTCTCTATCTGACCTTTCTGTTTCTGTTACAAAATGCATGGTCCATATATCTTACCTGAGAATTGCCTACTATTAAAATATTCTTACCTTGATTAGCAGGGGAATCAGTGGTACCTTCAACCTCACTAACCACTGAAGTACACTCGTCTTGGAGAACAGAGAATCGATTTCCTACCTGCACATCTTCTCTATGAACTCTCCTCATCGTCCTTCTTCCAGAACTGTGAACCACGTGCCACTTAAAGTGGCTGCCACCATCACTGCCGGTTACCATTTCCTCCTTACCAGCTAAATCCTTCTCGCACTCACTCCCAAACTCATCTATGCGAAGCTTCTGCCTCCTATTTTCCTCCTGAAAAAGTAGAATCTCCTTCTTCAACACTTGAACCTGAGATTCTAAAACACTACAACAAACCATGGTGCTTGGTAATAGCCCACTCTAACTCCCAAGAGCTCATGCAGGTATGACCACGCGTGACCACTGACCTCAGCGTACTGAAGTAATGACAAGCGTAATGACAACAACATTCTCCATAGTTACAAATCAGGCTTTAGAAGATCTTACTCAACCGACACCTCCCTAATTAATCTGATGGATTACATGAGAACTGAAATGTCGATAGGGAGCCTCATAGGTATGGTAAACTTAAACTTGCAAACGGCACAATATACTATGTAAGAAACTTCAAGCTATCGACATAGGTTCCATAGACTGGTTTAAGTCCTATCTTAGCAATAGGAAACTAATTGTCAAAATCACCAAAACAGAATCAGAACCCCTGCCGATAGAATGTAGAGTTCCCCAAAGTAGCATTCTGGGTCCCTTATTACTCTTATATTATGTAAACGATATGCCCATCAGCGTTCATTGCAAACTCCTACTGTATGCGGATGACAGTACTCTGTTACTGTCAGGTAAAGACCCACAAGATATAGCTAATGTATTAACATTAGAACTGGAGTCCTGCAGCAAAAGGTTAGCAGATAACAAACTATCGTTACACCTCGGGAAAACTGAAGCCATACTTTTTGGCACGAAACAAAAACTGAGAAGGATAAATAATTTTAATGTCCGGTGTAATGGGGAACCCATCACTTCAGTTTCCTCAGTAAAATATCTGGGAATTCCCTTTGACCCATGAATGTCAGGAGAACTGATCGGGAACTGTGTAGTAAAGAAAGTGAATGCCAGACTGAAGTTCCTCTACAGACAAGCACAGTGTCTACCTACTGAGGCTCGCAGGACCCTGTGTCTAGCCCTTATACAATGTCATATGGACTGCGCTTGCTCTTCATGGTACTCTGCCTTCACAAAAAAACTGAAAGATGAACTGCGAATCACCCAAAAACAAAATGGTAAGATTCATCCTGGACCTGGGTCCAAGAAAGCATGTAGGCCAGGATGAATTACAACAATTGGATATGCTGAATGTTGAAGACAGAGTAAAACAACTGAAATTAAATCAAGTTTATAAAATTGCTGACTAATAGTGTCCAGAATATCTTGCTGCCAATTTTGTCAAGGTTGGGAACCACAGCAATCATAGTACTAGGGAGAGAGAACACAACTTTTTAGTAGCCACAGTCAGTGGCCAGGCTTCAAACACCTTTTATTGTACACCAATAAAGAAATGGAACAGACTACCTGCACATGTCAAAGTCAGTCATAGCATGAACCAGTTCAAGAAGAGTGCCAAAAGGTACCTAATGAATGTAGGGACAGAAAGGGAGGAGAATGATTTTTTTTTATTTTTTTTTTTAGCTAACACACATGCAAATATAAATAACTCTTTTTACCTTATTCCTAGTACATATCCTTTATAGTATAATAATAAGATATTATATCTTTCATAGTATAATAATAAGGTATTAAAAGGACCCCAATGGAAATAAGTCACTCTGTCTGACTTTTTTGGGTTATCCCAGGTTCTCTACACATATGCTGCTATGTACGATAATCTATGTAACTGTATTTGTGCATACCTGAATAAACTTACTTACTTACTTACTCTATTTTAACTGCAGGAATTGGTTGAGGTAAATATATTTATTTAAAGTTATCCAGTTGTATAAAAGAAAACTGATTCTTCTCTTTTTCTCAGAGAAAATAACTTTTAGAGGTGACTAAAACAAATCATGCATTAGGCTCAATATACTGTTTTAAATTATCATCCCTCTGAATTATTACTCCCAGGGATTATTTCCGATTGGGGGACCTTTAATTATCTTTCCCAGGATGCAACTAACACCCAGATACCTACTTACAGCGTGCTAGCGGCTGCCCACACCTCTCAAACTAACGAGGCAGCTACCCACACCTCTCAAATTCACGAGGCAGCTGCCCACACCTCTCAAACTAACGAGGCAGCTACCCACACCTCTCAAATTCACGAGGCAGCTGCTCACATCTCTCAGACTAACGAGGCAGCTACCCATACCTCTCAAATTCATGAAGCAGCTGCCCACACCTCTCAAACTATCGAGGCAGCTACCCACACCTCTCAAACTAACGAGGAAGCTACCAACACCTCTCAAATTCATGAGGCAGCTGCCAACACCTCTCAAACTAACAAGGCAGCTACCCACACCTCTCAAAGCAACAAGGCAGCTACCCACACCTCTCAGTCTAACAAGGCAACTACCCACACCTCTCAGTCTAACAAGGCAGCTACCCACAACTCTCAAACTAATGAGGTAGCTACCAACACCTCTCAAATTCATGAGGCAGCTGCCCAAACCTCTCAAACTAACGAGGCAGCTGCCCACACCTCTCGAACTAACAAGGCAGCTACCCACACCTCTCAATCTCACAAGCCACCTACCCACACTTCTCAAACTAACAAGGCAGCTACCCACACCTCTCAAATTCATGAGGCAGCTACCCACATCTCTCAAACTAACGAGGCAGCTACCCACACCTCTCAAATTCATGAGGCAGCTGCCCACACCTCTCAAACTAACGAGGCAGCTACCCACACCTCTCAAATTCATGAGGCAGCTGCCCACACCTCCCAAACTGACATGGCAGCTACCCACACCTCTCAAATTCATAAGGCAGCTTCCAGGTACTAGCTTCCCAATATTTTAAAGATCCTCGGTATTAAGATGTTATCCAGAGACTTTAGAAGTACCTTATACTGTACGAACACTCTAAGAGTAACTAATACTCTACAAACACTTTAAGAGTACATATTGTTGTACGAACATTTTACATACACTTTATTTTTACGTGTCCTTAATAATGTGAGAAAATACGAAAGCGCTTGGATTTTCATTATTTTTTTTCAGTGGTTGTTTTGCATATTGTGATGTCACCTAATACTGTGATGAGTTTGCATATATAAATATATATATATATAATATAATATATATATATAATATATATATATATATATATATATATATATATATATATATATATATATATATATATATATATATATATATATATATATGCAGTAAGATCACAGTAAACAGGTGATATCAGAATATGCAAAACAACCACTGTGAAAGAATATTGAAATTCCAAGCGCTTTCGTGACTTCTCACGTTATCAAGGAACTATATAAACAACACATCAAAGGAAGGCATATAAAGGGTCGAGACTACACCTCGCCACCACATCCCACAACAAAGCAACACCTGACGTGCGACGACACCCGACTCATAAGAAAGGAGGAACATTGGACAAATAATAAATCTTAATTCTTGGGTAGACTACGAGGGCTAGGCAAATATTTTGTTAGTGGGATGTCGTGAAGGACCTACCTAGTTGAGTTAACAGGCCTGCTGCAGTGTTTATCCTTTCTTATGAGTCGGGTGTCGTCACGCATCAAGTGTTGCTTTGTTGTGGGATGTGATGGTGAGGTGTAGTCTCGACCCTTTATATGCCTTCCTTTGATGTATTGTTTTTATAGTTCCTTGATAATGTGAGAAGTCACGAAAGCACTTGGAATTTCACTTTTCTTTCACAGTGGTTGTTTTGCATATAGTATGTATATATATTTATATATATATATATATATATATATATATATATATATATATATATTAATATATATATATATATATATATATATATATATATATATATATATATATATATATATATATATATATATATATATATATATGGCTTTCATTTAGTTAAGAGAATTTAACCCAATGAACCAATTGCCTTATGTGGCCATCATAATACTTTTAAACCAATCACACCCAATGAGCACCATTTTTATCAAGATTTATTTTGTCAGGTGCGACTCAAGGAGCATTGCCAAACAGTGCAAGAGGAGCAGTGCAAAACGGTGTCCGAGGAGCAGTGCCAGGTAGTGCCCGAGGTGCCGTTGACACCGGAGCTGTCATTAACCTGAGCTCGGAGGATGCCGACAATGTCATGACATTCTTCATGCACTGTCACTACACCTGGGCCATCCCACTCAAGGTAATCTCTCATGATCCTTTTCTCAGTTATTTTTGTCTCTTTAGCTACTGTCTTGTTTAACACTTGCACCTTCAGAGCGCCACCTGACCTTCATTCTTCTCATAACCTTGTCTTGCTACATAACATTCTCCTAGGCTCTCTGTTCAAGAAATCGAGGTTACTTTCCCTTCCTTCGGATCAAATCCAATCATCTTCCATTTCCCAAGTGCTGCCTAATCCGGATCTACAGTAATGATGTACTGATGAAAACTTGTTCATAAGTTCTGATGATCATTGTTTCTCTTATTACAGTACTTTTCATTGTTTTTAGGATTTCAGGCTCTGTGACTTCTACCAGTTTATGGTATCCTAGTGAATTGTAATATGGTCATTTGTGAATATAGTCATGCCTCGCTTAACGACGGTGATAATTTTTCATAAATGCATCGTTAGGGCGATTTCGTAGATTGCTGTTGTGCGACCGTCGTAAAGATGTATGAGGCTTTTGTTGGTATAAGACGGCATACTGTTTTAGAGGAAAAATTTTTGTTTTAAGTGGAAAAAGTACACTCTAGAATAACAATAAATAAGTACAGTACAGTAAATACATAAACCAGGAACATAGTTGTTTATTATAATTATCAAGTATTATGTACTGTACATAATTGTATGTGCTATATTTTTATACGACTGGCAGTGCAGTTTACACCGCCGTCGTTGATCGAAACGTCGTTATGCAGAACATAGCTGTAATTGACAGCCTTAATTGCCTCACATTCACTCCGTGGGCAGCAGTCAAAAGATCACAGACACACACATGGGTCTACAGACTGGTTACCTACATACCTTTGATTAAATCGGGTGACATGAGTCATTTGTGCAAGTTTCCTCACACTTACTGCTCCATCTTCACCTTGTTGTAAATAGGCCCCGGGGTGTAAGCCGACTATTTTTCATAAACGAGTCACACTGGTTGTCATGGATTATCCTAGTTTAGTA